AGTCAGGTGCTCTATCTATATTTTTCTGCATAATGTGAAGAATTCTGGGGCAGTAAGGATAAGTCTGCCACTTCTCTTTGGCCAGATCCCTATTTTTTTGCATTCTCTGCATCATATACAACCGTATTGCTTCAAACATCTCAATTATTGGCTTCTCCTTAGCATCAAGAATTTTGTTGTTGAAGCACTCACAGATGTTATTCAATAACATAGCACATTTAGGATGAGTGCTAAAATAAGCTCTGCTCCATTGACTTGGTGGTTTGTCATCAAACCACTTGGCTGCCTCCATATCAATTTCAGCCATTGCTTCCATTCTGCTAATGAATTGGGCTGGTGTTGTTGCTTTGGCAACAGTCCATAATGCTCTCCTCAAACCTTCTCCTTTGAACCCAGCAGATGAAAAGTTATTGTGCAAGTGTTTCACACAAAATCTGTGGGCTGCATTTGGGAAAATCATATCACATGCTTCAATTAGACCTTTTTGTTTGTCACTCATTATTGTCCACTCATAATCCTTTTCAATCTTCAAATCTTCTTTCAATAATTTGAAGAACCAGCACCATGAGTCCTTACTTTCACCCTCTGCTGCAGCATATGCTATTGGAAAAATGCCATTATTGGCATCAACTCCAACAGCTGCTAGCAAAACTCCTCCTACTGATCCTTTCAAAAAAGTACCATCTACTCTAATAAACTGCCTACATCCAGTTAGGAAACCATGCTTCACTCCAGCAAAACAGATGTATAGCCTCTCAAATCTGCCTTTCCCTGCTTTTGAGTCTCTAAAACCATCAATAGTTTTCAATATAACAGTGCTACCAGGGTTGGATCTTAGAATTTCATGCATATAAACTCCTAATTTGCTGTACTGGTCTTTTTCACTGCCCTGAACAATTTTCATTGCTTTTCTCCTTGTCCTATATGTTTGATTTTTTGTGAAGGAGCACCTATTTTCTTTCATTACTGTCTTCCTAAAATGCTCCAAATCTAATTTAGGATTACACCTAAACTCTTCACAGTACTTCTTAGCTACCCATCCAGAATGCACAAGAGGGTTATCATATGTAAAACCACATGTGTGATTATCTTCAAATGTTCTTATTTGAATAGTTCCATCCCCACTTAATTTTCTAGCATATATAACCCAATTACATTCACTATTTCTGCATCTAGCCCTCACCCTCACTCTATCTTGTTTCACAAACTTACAAGGCCTGCCTTGTTTCACACTATAATTATGTACAGCAGTCTTGAAAAGTTTCAGACTTGTAAAGGACATGTACAGTTCTAATTTTGGATTATCAATATGCTTAGGATCAAAAGTACGAGACCTCAATTTAGACTCTTCATCATCAGACTCATGAATGCTTTCAAAATCAGATTCAGAATCAGGAACCTGTTCTGTTTCATCAGAATCAGGAACCTTCTCTATTTCATTCAAAGGATCAGGAACCGCATTTTCTTTCCTGTGATTGTCTACTCCCAACCATTCAGCATTTTTGTCAACATTATCATGAAATATACCATCATCAGCATCATCGCCTATTTCATAATCTGAATCAATAGCTGAAAAAAAAGTCTCATCACTTGCGTTGGAATCATTATCACAATTATTAGCAGCACACCTTCCTTGCCCTTCATCCCTAATCTTATTGTTACCATCACCATTTTGGAGTTCATTTTCTGTCTCATCTACCTCATACGGATCATAACCAAGTTGTTGTACTAAAATTTCATGAAAAGATACTTCAAGATATAAGTTAACTTCCTTAGTTGGCCCAACCTCCCCCTTAACATAACCATTCAACTCCCTACTGCTTTCTATCCTCCTAAAGGTGTTATTTTCCCAACCATAGCACACCTTATGACCATATACACCAGTACTCTCAGTTAATCTATCCATTTCGAAAACACTTAGACCTATACTCTCAACATAGTCAAAAACACACAAATCTCCACCTTCATAATGGGGATCAGGAGTATATGAAATGAGGCCTCCATGGTGACATCTTAATGTAATAAATATGCTTCCCGTTTCTGGTTAAAGAAAATAATATAGATCAGACTCTTTAGGAAAAAAAAAAAAGCTTCATTATTTCAGCACAACAAACTGTTGACCCACACAAAAACTACCAAACAAGGACCACTTGCACTTTTTCCATACACATGGTCAGATACACATGGCCGGCAAAATATACCAAGTGTTATTGTTTATTAATCACTCTTATCACAAATTTATAGTCAAGCGGCAACTATCATCAGACATAAGGGACCGCATTCACACTATAATAATCAAACCAAGACAAATTTTTGGATTTATTTATACCTCATGCAAATGGCCAGATCTGGAAAAAAAATAGCCGTAAATTGTAGTGGGGAAAAAGTACAAACACAAGGGACCACATATCAGGTTTCCTTCTCCAAAAAAACAGATATCTTTATGCAATGTAGTTGTTGATTTTGGGTATAAATACCGTAATTTGGAGGTGGACAAATGTGGAACTCTTTCTTCCGCAATGCCATTTTTTTCTTCACCTAAAATGTTCCACGAATGCCGTCTATTCCTTCCTTCTTGCCAGCAGATGCTCGAAAAATGGATGAAACGATTGGCAAAAAAAATTTTTAGAGCTGAGAACGGAGAAGAAAGAAGGAGAAGACAGGAGCTTTTTTCCTTTTGCTATTTTGTGTTTTTTGTCTGTTAGAAAAAGTGGATCCATTCGGTTTGATCCAGTTATGTTGGGTATAAAGTTGGATCTGACGAATTGTGCTTCTCACGTGCAAAGTTCCGTCCCAATATTTGATTTATCCTCCAATTCCCGTCAATTGTCCTTAATTGGTCAAAATTACGGAACTTTGAGGATGAAATGTGTTTGGGGTTAAACATTGAGGATGAAATTGGTCAACCCGCAAACTTTGAGGATAAAAAGTGCATTTTTCCCTTCAAAATATGAACTAGCATCCCTTCTTTTTGGGCAAATAGTTGGCTATTCGGTTAAGTATCATTTTTGAATTGTAATAAGCTGTCAGCTTTTCTCTCTCTCTCTCTCTCGGTATTTGTTTTCCTAGGGGTCATCGATCCTTTTCTTGGTGCGCTACTCTATCAATTTGGCGGTTTTAGGAGGATTGTTTATGATCTTGGCTAAAAGAAATTAGATCTGAGGTTGACTTGACTAATTCCATGACACCAATCCTGATACTGAAGTACCAATCAAGCACCTCCGAGGTTATTTATAATTTATTTCTTGACTGTTTTCCTCTAGCACTCAGTTTTCTTGGAGGGGTTTGGGAAGGGGAGAAAACAGGATTCTGGACCATTAACTGATAAATGATGAAGCCAAATAAATAAACACACATAAATCTATAGAAACAATCAAGAAAAATGATACAGAGGTAATGGAATTTCTTCAACTATTCAAAAAGCTGCGCTACTGACGGTACAAGGAGGACAACATGCAAAACGAAAAAATAAAACCCAATGACACAGAGTCTATCATTCTCCTAGTGTATCCTACGGACTTGTACACTTATTAGTACAACTAATATGGGATTTTATCCAATGTGACCACCCTTATGTCCTAACAATGAAACCAACATTACTAACCAATAAACTAACACCACGCGGCTAACTAAACTAACCAATTAATATTTGCTTGGTTTAATTTCTACAATAAATAACTACATCGATTTCTCTATCAAATCAATGTGTTGTTAAAAAAAAAAAAGACAAAATCGTACAGAGAATTCAGTAATAAAGAATAGTGACGACCACACAAAAATGTTTGGTATCTTTTCTTTTCAACTGGTGCTAGATCAATTTTGAGGGTTCAACTTGAAATTGGTCACCTGTTTTCATGCAAACTGCTGGTAATGGAGCTCAGAGGCGGGGATAATTGTTTCTCGTTTTCGTCAAAAGTATAATCTATTATCATGAAGTGTCTAACGCCTGAAATTTCGTCAAAGCAGTGTTTTTTTTTTGGTTGAATTTTTGTTACACGCATTAGCACGTTTTCAGAGAACGTACTCTATATTTGGTTGTCACACCTGAATTTCTGCAGCACGTCATTTTGTATTTTGTGGGATGTGTCAATAAAATTGCCATCAGTTTTAACATTCTCAATGAACCGAGCCAAATTATTGTTTTATCATCATTTTTTTTAAAAAATTAAATGTATCTCTTTTTTAGCTTGCATTTTAAGCTGACATGTTGTTCCAAGCTTTAGCTTTGCATATAATCAAAATTAGATATGTATCATGTGAATATATTCATGCTTTCACTCTGGCAGAATTTGGCTAGTGTTCTTTTCAACATTTCAGTTTAGTTTTAGAAGGATCCATCCCCTTCATTCTTGAGTTTATTCTAAGAAGGATCCTTCATTACATGCTTGCAATCCAAGTATTGACTTCATGTCATTTCTTTCTGATTAGATGTGTATAAGATTATGAAACAGAAATGAAGAAATAACAAATTCCGACCTTAACATTTTTTGTACTTTCATTGATGTCTGCATTCCTATGAGGAGTTGATAGTACACAAAAGAAGATAAGTAGCAACCAGGTGACTCAAGTCCTATTATCATATCATGTCCAACTTAGGATTCAAAAAAATCGAATCCGTGTTGGCCAAAATTGACAGGTCACTTTAGTCACCCCATTACATCAAGAACAACTCTAAAATATGCAGCAAAAAGTCGACATATCACTTTAGTCACTTCCCTTACATCAAGAAAGACTCTAAAAAATGCAGTAAAAACAAGGTTAGGTGCAACTGCTTCTGGGATGCTCATACCCAGGAAAAGCAGAGTTGCAAACGGAAGTAGATTTATTGACTCTCTGACTCATTCAATTGAACTTTCTAGTTTCCACCTTCCACCCCACATCTACAGTTCATTGTTGTACTGCATAGTGCATACCGCGTAAAAGGAGGTGGTAAACATTGCCCTCTTTTTCTTCTTCTTCTTCCACTCCTATGCGACTTGCGAAGTTTTGTTAAGCACGAAATGAGAAACATTGCCTCTTCTTCTTCTTCATCTGCTTCCACTCCTAAATGGACTTATGATGTTTTCTTGAGCTTTAGGGGTGAAGATGTCCGAAAGAGCTTTGTCGACTTCCTCTACAGTGCTCTGCAACAAAAGGGAATTTACACCTTCAAAGACGACGAAAAGCTTGAAAGAGGAAGATCCATTTCACCTGCACTACTCCAAGCTATTAAAGAGTCAAGAATTGCAGTTATAATATTCTCAGAAAACTACGCCACTTCTTCATGGTGTTTAGATGAGCTCGCAGAGATCATTGACTGCAAGCATGTGTTGGGACAAACTGTTCTGCCGGTTTTTTATTACGTGGATTCATCTGTGGTACGGAGACAGAAAGGCAGCTTTGATCGAGCTTTTGTCAAACATGAAGACGAAATAGAGGACAAGGAAAGGATTCAAAAGTGGAGAGCAGCTCTTACTGAAGCTGCTTCTGTCGCTGGCTGGGATGTTCCCAACACTGCTGATGGGTAAATTCACTGACTCTGATCTTTAAAAATATGAACTAGCATCCCTTCTTTTTGGGCAAATAGTTGACTATTCGGTTAAGTATCATTTTTGAATTGTAATAAGCTGTTAGCTTCTCTCTCTTTCGGGTATTTGTTTTCCAATGGGTCATCGATCCTTTTCTTGGTGCTCTTTTTTTGTGGTTAACTACTCTATCAATTTGGCGGCTTTCGGTGGATTGTTAATGATCTTGGCTAAAAGAAATTAGATCTGTGGTTGACTTGACCAATCCCATGACACCAATCCTGATACTGAAGCACCAATCAAGCACCTCTGAGGTTATTTATAATTTATTTGTTCACTGTTTTCCTCGAGCACTCAGTTTTCTTGGAGGGGTTGGGGAACGGGAGAAAACAGGATTCTGAACCATTAACTGATATATAACTGCATCCATTTCTCTATCAAAGCAATGTGTTATTCAGAAAAGGACAAAGTTATACAGAGATTCAGTAATAAAGAATAGTGACGACCACGCAAAAATGTTTAGTATCTTGTCTTTTCAATTGGTGCTAGATCAATTTTGAGGGTTCAACTTAAAATTGATCACCTTTTTTCATGCAAACTACTGGTAATGGAGCTCAGAGGCGTGGATAATTGGTCCTAGTTTTCGTCAAAATATAATCTATTATCATGAAGTGTCTAGCGCCTGAAATTTCGCCAAAGCAGTGCTGTTTTTTTTTTTTTTGGTTGAATTTTTGTTACATGCATTAGCACGTTTTCAGAGAACGTACCCTATACTTGCTTGTCACACCCCAATTTCTGCAGCACGTCATTTTGAATTTTGTGGGATGTGTGTCAATAAAATTACCATCAGTTTTAACTTCTCAATGAACTGAGTAAATTATCGTTTTATCATCAGTTCTTTTTCAAAAATATTTCCTTTCACTTTCTTCAGAATCTAAATGTATCTCTTTTCTTGCTTGCATTTTAAGTTGGCATGCTGTTCCAAGCTTTATGACGGGTATTTTACATACGTGCAAGCTAAAAAATACCGAATTACACCCGTTCACTGCAAGTATACAGATCAACTAGTAGTTTAGGGTATATATCGGGTCGATCCCACAAGGAAGAGTGAACAATTACCGGTATTACTAAAGCTTCTCTATTATTTAGACTATCAATGAATTATAAGAAATTTAACCTACTGAAATTATACAAAATAACAAATAAAAGCTCCTTAGGTTGTGGTATCCCTAACTACTCATGCAAGTGTTATATTTGGATCATTGAGTACTACATCTAAGCTAATTATGGTGTAATTTCCTTATGCATTTGAATCCTACTTTCGTAGTGAATCAATTATACTAATAACTAATCCATACCTATTCTCATGGTTATGAAATTAGTTACAAGTTCATTTCTTCAATGAAATTACATGAAATTAATCACCAAAACCCCATAGGTGCACCTCTACTCTCGTGAGTGTACTCCCCATGTTTAGCACTTATTGAACTAATGTTAAATCTCAATTTTCATTGCAGAAATAACACCTTAGATAATCACAATTAATGGTACCAGATTAATCATGATTTAAAGAGCCAAAGTGCTAAATAACTTGCTCAAATACTAGCAATCAAATAGCCAAATAATAAACACTAACAATCATAGGAAGTTCAACCAAACCCAAGGCATAAACTTTAGAAACAAATAATAAACATAAATTCCAGAACTTGCATTATAACCATAGTTAAGAATCCAATACAAAAGATAAAGAATTGGAGTAGAGATAACCCATGTCACTTTAGCTTCAACTCCTCCTTCTTCATCTCCATCTTCATCCTAATCTAGCTATTATACAAGAATGGATTAACTACACTTACTACACTATCCTACACTAAGGAAATGAAAGAACTACATTTCTGCACTTCAAGTTCTCTCCCGTATGATGAATGAATGAATGAATGAATATCAGACTTCCCCAAATGTCTCTGCATATAAGCTGATGAAAATCTCCTCTCTAGTCCAAAATTTCTGCTCTAATGATTCTCAAATCTCCATTTGTTAAGGAAGTCAAAAACAATGACTTTTGACTTGGAATAAGCCATATTGTGTGCTCTTTTTGTCTTCTGAAGCATGTGCACCGAATTCACTTGCAACTTATAGCTGGAAAGTAGTCTGAACACAAGAGAATTGACTGAACAAAATGCAGAATTTCGGCCAGAAAACGCGCCTACACAAAACGCGGTTACAAGTCACGTTTTGTGCACTCGCGTATTCACTTTGGCCTTACTTTATCTGCGATTTTCTCTATCATCAAGGCCGAACTGGCTTTTGTGAAAAACAAAAAAGTTGTAGCCCTTTGAGTTAGCTTTTCAATGCTTCAAGAATCATCCAAATCTAATCTTTGTAGCCTGAGATATGATCCAAATACTAAACACTGGTCAGAGCTCTGTTTTCCACTTTGGACAGCTGAGTTGAATTTCGGTATGTCAACTTTTGGGCTATGAAAACGGCTGAATTGGACTTTGATGTCTTCATACCAAATGTAGATCTCTTTCTTAGCTTTAAATTGGTATAAAGATCACCTCAATCCGATCAGTATAGCTCCAGATATAATCAAAATACCAAAGCATGTCAGACTATCTTGACTTGCATTTCTTGCATTTTTCCTTTTACACTTCATTTTTTTTTCACCACTTTAATTCCATCTTCAAATCATCCTATCTTTTTCATGCACTTCATTTTGATGATTGAATCATTAAACCTACAAAATATGAAGTTTTTACTATTAAAATCAATAGAAATGCAATATTAGCCATTTTAACATAAAATGTAGTTTTTTACCAAAACCTTAGTTATTTTAGTTATAAAACTAAATAATCAAACCAAAATTAACTAATAAAACACACAAAAAATACGTAAAATAAACCCTTGTCAAATACCCCCACACTTGAACCATTGCTTGTCCTCAAGCAATAAGAAATACAAAACCAACAATGATTCAAAATTTGAAAATAAACATATGTAGCATTTCAACTTCATTTCCTTAAAACAAAGTAAATAACTATTATGCAATTATTCAATTAAATTCAAGTACTCATAATATCAAGTAAAGGAGAGCCAATTATACCGTAATTATAACAGGTTCAAATCTATTTTTCATCCTTACCCAATCTTACAAGTAAGTAACTCATATGGTCAATAATATGCTTTCTAAACCCATGATCATCTTCTTATTTAACTTAAAGAGGGATTTATTTATATAATATAGCTAATATTACTTAAGTTGTGAAAGTATATTTTTACGCGAGGATCAACATTTTTAGATGAAGATCACCGGTTACTCAACACTTCACATACTCAAGTTGCTTTGCATACTCTTAATTCAAGTACCGTTTTACGCGAAAGTCGACATTTGTAGATGAAGACTCCCGGTTACTAAGTACAAGAATCATTGGAGTAGAATAAATAAATTTTTTTTTCTTCTTTTTTTTCACTTTTTTTTTCTTTTTTTCTTTTTACAGCAAAGATAATAATAAATTCCTCAAAAGAATAATCATGAGAAGAGTATTGCACTTATTGACCATATTTATCACTTAACTTATAAAATCAAATAAAGCGAAGAAATTTCATCAAATATGCAAAAAAAATATAGGCATAATTTTCTCCACTTTAAAAGATATACTTTCCTACAAATGCAAAAATTATAATCACATAATAGTCATTTCCAAGTTAAATGAGAAAAGAAGTGCTTAAACCACATATATTTATCTCAAATGTAGAAGGAATTTGAACTACTAATGGTATGGAACTTTGTTACCCCTTTGGATGAAATTTAAAATTTAAAATTTTTGGGGCAAATTTGCAATTTTGGACAAGATGTTAGAAAAATTTTGAATTTTAACACAAGTCCAATATTTGCAACTAATAAGTCAATCACATACAATATATAATCTCAATTCTCCCCCCACACTTAACATGCACATTGTCCTCAATGTGTAAAAAGGAAAATGAAGATAAAGAAAAATAATACTCCCCTATTGTTGTGATTGAATATGAAGCTTCAAGGTATGTTGTTCGCCGGTCTTCATCACTTCATGAGTTCCATTGGATAACCATTAGTGATATAAACCTAAGAATGGAAAATGAGAAACCAAAGTGATAACAAAGGCTTAAGACATCAAAACGGCTATCCGTAACTTCAAGCCCTTGTTTTGGTGATGTACCTATAAAAAAATACACAATAAGCAACTCAAGGTACAAGAAAATATATGAGGAAAAGAAGAAAAAGAGAACCAAGGAACCTGCATTTTTTCTTTCAAAAAAAATGCTCAGAAAACGTGAGTAGAAACGCGCCTTTAACTCGCGGTTTTGAAGGCGCGTTTCTTCCCAAAAGTTGCAGTACTGAAAACGCGGTTCTGTGAGAAAACGCGACTTTAAGTCGCGTATTTGAAGGCGCGTTCCTAGTTTCTGAACAGGCTGGAAAACGCGACTTGGTAGAAAACGCGACTTCCAGTCGCGTTTTGAAGGCGCGTTTTCTTCATTATGGGCGCAGAATTGAAAACGCGATTCTATGAAAACGCGATTCAGTGGCGCGTTTTTTTAGAAAAAATGCATTTTCTGCTGCAAAATTTAGCAGAAATTTAACTTAAGAATAATTACAAATGATACCCCAAATTTCCAAAATGCATCATAGATCATTTGTTTGCTAAAATTCTCAATGCATGCACATGTAAAATGATCAAAATGTGCATTTTAACCCCTTGTAACGAATCAAAAACAACAATTACTCAAATCGAGGGGTTGAGTTCCTTGATCAAATTTCGTCTTTTTCACCTCATTTGGTCACTTTTGCTTTCATTTCCGATACCTATAAATGAAAAATAATGAAATAACTCAAACACATACTCCAAACATAAAATCACACAAAAATAACAGAAATAGCCAAAACATTGGGTTGCCTCCCAATAAGCGCTTTTATTTATAGTCGTTGGCTCGACTATTGTACCTCATTTTTCAAGGAGGTTTGGTTAAAGAATAATCCACCATTTTAGGTCGTGGTGGATCATTAAAAGGTGGCTTTATCGCGAAAGCCACATAATCTAATGATGTGAGAAATGAAAGTGACTTACATATTCCAAGTGTTTCATAAATATTACCTTGAATATGCACCACTTGAGAACTTACCAAAGGAAATGTCATGAGAGTATCTTGGGCAGCAATACCCTTAGAACCTATACTTTCAATGCACTCCTCAAGAGGGGTGAAAAATGAGTCATTAAAACTCACCTCTTGAGGCTCAAAGTTAGTTCCAAAGATATTATCATGTGAAATGGATATTTGCTCATTAAAACACACTTGAGATTCATCATTTTTATCAAAATGCAACCCATTTTCACATACAACATTCCCACCATTCATGCTAGGATCATTTTGCAATTTATTAGAGGAAATAACTTCACACAATGCATGCACTTTCTCTTGTATTCTACCAAAGTGAGAAGCTAATTCATCTATTCTTTCCTCAATCCTATCAAAATGGTCAGAAGTTGCATTAGCTAATTTTTCTAAAGCTAACTCCCAAGATGGCTTAGAATCATTAGCTACCATTTCAATTGCCAACTCCCAAGATGGTTTTGATTCATATTGGACACATGCAGGTTGGTAATTATAAAAATATGAAGAATCACTATAAGTACCATGATTATCCCAACCATAAGCACAAAAATTGCTCCAATTAGCACTATGTTGATCAAAACAAGGATTGTAATGCTCTAATTCATCATAGTAATCCACATTTTGTGCTTGCATACATGTATTAGTTGCATGATAACCTCCACACAAGTCACAAATCACATGATAAGAATTAAAAGCATTAAAATTCCTCCCTTGCTCAATTTCATGCATAATTGTATCCATTTGAACTTGCAACATCATAACATCAAATTTAGTTTTTAAGCACTTCAAACCATCTTCAAAAGACATACCTTTGGTAATTTCTTGGTAATCTCTATTGAAGGAGTTTTGCACTTGGTAACCATCCATTGCCAATCTTCCATTTCTCAAGCATTGTCCTCCAACTTGACCTATCCTCCTCATCACCTAAAATTGCCTTTAAACAACTTAAGAGCAAGATTAGTAAAAAGAATAGGTGATAAAACACATACACATTTAAAACACTAAAATAACAGAAAACAACATTCACACTATAACTAATAAAATGTCTAAACTAATAAAGTTGCTCTTCACACCGATATTGCCAAATCTTCCCCGGCAGCGGCGCCAAAAACTTGACGGGTATTTTACATACGTGCAAGCTAAAAAATACCGAATTACACCCGTTCACTGCAAGTATACAGATCAACTAGTAGTTTAGGGTATATATCGGGTCGATCCCACAAGGAAGAGTGAACAATTACCGGTATTACTAAAGCTTCTCTATTATTTAGACTATCAATAAATTATAGCAAATTTAACCTACTGGAATTATACAAAATAACAAATAAAAGCTCCTTAGGTTGTGGTATCCCTAACTACTCATGCAAGTGCTATATTTGGATCATTTAGTACTACATCTAGGCTAGTTATGGTGTAATTTTCTTATGCATTTGAATCCTACTTTCGTAGTGAATCAATTATACTAATAACCAATCCATACCTATTCTCATGGTTATGAAATTAGTTACAAGTTCATTTCTTCAATGAAATTACATGAAATTAATCACCAAAACCCCATAGGTGCACCTCTACTCTCGTGAGTGTACTCCCCATGTTTAACACTTATTGAACTAATGTTAAATCTCAATTTTCATTGCAGAAATAACACCTTAGATAATCACAATTAATGGTACCAGATTAATCATGATTTAAAGAGCTAAAATGCTAAATAACTTGCTCAAATACTAGCAATCAAATAGCCAAATAATAAATACTAACAATCATAGGAAGTTCAACCAAACCCAAGGCATAAACTTTAGAGAAACATAAATAACACAAAATCCAGAACTTGCATATTAACTAAATTTGGAATTAAGTACAAAAGATAAAGAGTTGGAAAGGAATGTAACCCATGTCACTTGAGCTCATCACCTTACCTTCTTCATCTCCATCTTAATCCTAGTCTAGCAATATACAAGAATAGATGAACTACACTAGCTAAACTATCCTACACTAAGGAAATGAAAGAACTACATTTCTGCACTTCAAGTTCTCTCCCCGTATGATGAAATGAATGTCAGACTTCCCCAAATGTCTCTGCATATAAGCTGATGAAAATCTCCTCTCTAGTCCAAAATTTCTGCTCTAATGATTCTCAATTCTCCATTTGTTAAGGAAGTCAAAAACAATGACTTTTGACTTGGAATAAGCCATATTGTATGCTCTTTTTGTCTTCTGAAGCATGTGCACCGAATTCACTTGCAACTTATAGCTGGAAAGTAGTCTGAACACAAGAGTATTGACTGAACAAATTGCAGAATTTCGGCCAGAAAACGCGCCTACACAAAACGCGGTTACAAGTCACGTTTTGTGTACTCGCGTATTCACTTTGGCCTTACTTTATCTGCAATTTTCTCTATCATAAAGGCCGAACTGGCTTTTGTGCAAAACACAAAAGTTGTAGCCCTTCGAGTTAGCTTTCCAATTCTTCAAGAATCATCTAATTTGGAGATTTGTAGCCTGAGATATGACTGAAATACTAACACCTGGTCAAATCCCTGTTTTCAACTTTGGACAGCAGTGTTGAATTATGGTATTTCGACTTTTGGACTTTGAAAACGGCCGAATTGGACTTTGATGTCTTCATACCAAATGTAGATCTATCTCTTAGCTTCAAAATGGTACCAAGATCACCTTGATCCGACCTGTTTAGCTCCAGATATAGTCAAAATACCAAAATGTGTCAGAGTTGTCAAAGCTGATATTTCTTGCATTTTTCCTTTTACACTTCATATTTTATTTTCACCACTTTAATCCATCTTCAATCATCCAAATATCTTCTCAATGCACTTCATTTGATGATTGAATCATTAAACCTACAAAATATGAAGTTTTTACCATAAAAATCAATAAAATGCAATGTTTAGCTATTTTAACATAAAATGTAGTTTTTTACCAAAACCTTAGTTATTTTAGTTATAAAACTAAATAATCAAACCAAAATTAACTAATAAAACACACTAAAAATACGTAAAATAAACCCTTGTCACTTTAGCTCTGCATATAATCAAAATTAGTATCATGTGAATATGTTCATGCTTTCGCTCCGGCAGCATTTGGCTAGTGCTCTTTTCAACTTTTCATTTTAGTTTTAGAAGGATCCTTGCCTTCATTCTTGACCTTATTCTAGGAAGGATCATTTCATGCTTTAAATTGAATCATGTCATTTCTTTCTAATTAGATGCGTTTAAGGTTATGAAACAGAAATGAAGAAATAACTTATTCCGACCTAAACTTTTTCTGTACTTTTATTGATGTCTGCATTCCTATTAGAAGTTAATTGTACACAAAAGAAGATAAGTAGCAACCAGGTGACTCAAGTCTGATTGTCATATCATGAAATTGTTTTTAAGAACTTAACAAGTAACGCGTAATGAGTAATAAGACCATATTTGACCCCTAAAGCAGACCATGATGAGTAAGTCAAAAACCAGTCTTCTGTATACTTCAACAGGTCAAACACTATCACCTGTCATCCTTGGTCTCTATCAGTATATGTATGTTGTCTTTGTGAACGTTTCTTTCCCATGAGTTCTCACTCTCATTTCAATTTTGGAAAGGTTTCATCCATGTTATCTTCTCTTCTGCATTTGACATGTTTCCGACATTTTCTTTTTTGTTTGTCTTCCTTTCAAAATTTTCTTCTTGTCACCTCTTCTCGTTTGGCAATGGTTTTTCCTATCTCTCTCCCCCCCCAACTCTCCGCCCTTCCCCTCCCCTCTCCCCTCCGAAAAATAAAAACTCTGTATTTCATTTATTACAGTTCTGTTACTTTATTTATCACCCTTAGTAGTCTTTGTCTCGTTGATATCTGTTCATCTATTTAACAATTTTCCAAGGAACATATTTTTCTGCTTTCCATGTACGGGTATTTACTAGTAGCATCCTCAATACTTGTGAGTCTGATGCCAACATAAGTATTGTATCAAAAATAAATATTGATAACGTGTACATGATAACAAACAATGATGTTACTTTGTACTGCAGCATACATTACATTGAAGTATCTATCTATCAGATTGAGGCATCTGCTCTATTGGAGCATTTATTAGTGTTTTTTTCCAAATAATCATTTGTTAGATCTATCTATTTTGAGAATATGGTTATGCATCTCTGGTGCATGATCTTTTCTTACCTTTTATTTTCTTTTTTCATGCATAGGCATGAGTCTAAATGCATCCAAGAAATTGTTGGAGATGTTACGGCTAAATTGGGAAGAGTTATTGCAGTTGAAGAAAAAAACCAAGTTGGTATTGATTCTAGAGTTCATAAAGTAAATGCATTGCTGAATTTGGGGTCTGATGCGGTTCACTTTTTAGGGATTTGGGGAATGAGTGGAATTGGTAAAACAACCATAGCAAGGGCTGTTTTTGACCGAATATCCACTCATTTTGAAGGTGCCATCTTTCTGCATGAAGTTAGAGAACAATCAAAAAGTCTGGAAATTTTGCAAGAGAAGATTCTTTCAAAAATTCTTTGCTTAAAAGATTTGAGGATCAGCAGTGTTTTTGAAGGGTCAAATATGATTCTGAGAAGACTATGCTATAAAAAAGTCCTTATTGTTCTTGACGATGTTGACCACCTAGATCAATTAGAAGCTTTAGCTGGAAAACATCATTGGTTCGGTGCTGGTAGTCGAATTATCATTACCACAAAAAATAAGCATTTGCTTGTTACACATGGAGTAGATAAAATGCACAAGGTGGAGTTGTTGAATCAATCTGAAGCTATTCAGCTGTTTAGTCGGCATGCTTTTAAGAAGGACTATCCTGCAAGAGATTATGAGGAGCTTTCAAATGAAATAGTGCATTATGCTGGTTGCCTTCCCTTAGCTCTAAAAGTTTTAGGTAGCTTTCTGTATGGCAGAGACATGGCTGAATGGAGAAGTGAAGTGGAGAGATTAAAAAGAATTCCAGAAGATGAAATTATGGAAAAGCTCAAAGTAAGTTTTAATGGACTCAGAGAAGTTGAAAAAGAAATTTTCTTGGATATTGCGTGTTTCTTTAACGGGAAGAAGGAAGAATACATAAGAAGAGTACTTGATAGTTTCGATTTCTATCCTGATATAGGCATAAAGGTTCTCATCGAGAAATCTCTCGTAACCGTTTTTGGAGGAAAGATTCTGATGCATTGTTTAATACAAGAAATGGGTTGGCATATTGTTCGCCAAAAGGCTCCAGATGAGCCAGGAAAGCACAGCAGGCTCTGGGTAGCAGAGGAAATTTGTGACATTTTGGCTAGAGACACGGTTAGCAATCTTCCACCTCTAAGTTAATTTCATTCCACCTAGAAGAATATTCCAATTATATTTCTCGAATATTTTGTTTATGCAATTTCTCCTTTTCTTCTTCTCCTTGTAACCTGTGTCCTGGCAGGCGACAGAAAATATTGTGGGCATGTGGCTGGACTTGTCTACCGCAAAAGATGTTGTAATTAAGAATGAAGCCTTTGAAAAGATGAAGAAACTAAGGCTACTCAAAATCAATAATGCTTGTGTTTCTCGCTGCCCGAATTGCATACCGAATGGGATACGGTGGCTTAACTGGCATGGATACCCTTCAAAATCCCTTCCACAGAGTTTCCAAGCTGAAAAGCTCGTAGGACTTAACCTACAATATAGCCGCATCATACATCTATGGAAAGGGATAAAGGTACCATCTTGAACTCTGGTTTATTGTTGTTTCCTAATGAATCTTGCTTGAACCTATATGATGTCTTTTTCTTCCCCTTTCTTTCTGTCATTTTCTTCATTTTGCCAAAAAAACTTTTGACAGTCGCTGGACAAATTGAAATACATCGACCTGAGCTATTCCCAGAAGTTAATAAGGACGCCAGACTTCACAGGGATACCAAATCTTGAGAGATTGATCCTTGAAGGCTGTTCAAGTCTCACAAGTCTGCCAAGTAGCCTCTGCAGATTGAAATGTCTTGAAGCTCTTATTCTTTCTGGGTGCTCAAAACTTGACAAGTTACCAGACGAGCTAGGACATGCACTGAGCTTAAAAGAGCTTTATGTTGATGGAACTGCCATCTCCAAGCTACCATCCTCTATCGTACTTTTGAAAAACCTAAAAACATTGTCTTTCAGAGGATGTAAAGCAAAGGCATCTCGTAAATGTAGAGCATTCTCGCCCTCCTGGTTGCGGGGTCAAAAAAGTCAAAATTCAACTGGCTTGGTTTTTCCATCTGTTTCAGGATTAAATTCCCTAGCAAAACTAGATCTTAGTGATTGCAATCTGTCAGACAAAGGATTACCTTGCGATTTAGGGAGCTTATCCTTCCTAGTAGAATTAAATCTTGGCAAGAACAACTTTACTAGTATCTCTGCCGCAAGTATCAAGAACCTCAGTCGCCTTCGAATCCTTGAATTAGTTGGCTGCAAGAGACTTGAGATACTTCCAGAGCTTCCACCTTGTATAGAAGAAGTGTATGCAGATAATTGTACATCATTGCAGAGTGCAACTGATTTGACAAAGCATGGGTTGTTACACAGGGTTTCATTCAGTAATTGTTTCAAGCTGCTTCAGGATGAACGAACTTCCAGCATGATATATGCAACTTGGAACCACATGCTAAAGGTATTTTCTTTTTTACAATATACATACAACTCCCGGCGCCCAAAAAACTTTTTGTGACGGAGGGACTACTAGTTTAGATGTGCTTCACAAACTAAAACTTCTTGTTTTGTTACTGAGAGAGAGGCCTAATTTCTTGCTGTGTAGAAATTTTCACTTGTAGATGGTAGCTTTAGCATCTGTCTTCCTGGAGGGAGCATTCCATCCTGGTTCACCTACCAGAATTCAGGGCCTTCAATAACAATTGAGCTTCCTCCAAATTGGTACAACAATGAGTTCATGGGATTCGCAGTTTGTGTTGTTTCTGATTTGATAAGGACCCCATTTTTGTTGGAATTACAATGGCGTGAGCTTCTACAGAAAATTCCAGGTTTTCCTGTCCAGTTTACTCTCATAGATAAGGAGATGAATCGCTTTTGCTACGTATTCACCATGGCTTTTGTGGGGGCCGAAAACAACATTGATTCAGAACATACTTGTCTAGGATATCTTCCATTTGATAATATTTTGGATGCGCTTGCGTTTACAAGACGGCGTAATGGGTCTTTGCCATCTTTGTGGTCAAATAGCTTACGCAGCCCAAATGATTGGACTTGCATTGAGGCGTCTGCTCATGCTGATGCTAAGGAATGTTTGGTTTTCAAAGAATGGGGAATCAGTCTTGTATACGAGAACGATGTTAGGCAGAATTCCGAACTTTTGATGATCCCACAAAGCTCTGAGTTGGGAGAAAGGAGATTCTCATCCAATGTGATTGTCAATAGACTGAAATCCAGCAGGAGGAGAAGAAGAGGTCCTGAAGCTTTGCCAAGTTTTCCATCAGAATTGACTCAGATCGGGGACCCCTCAGTTCGGAGACCCATCCGCGTTGACGGTGTCCATCTATTTAGCACAGTAGCGACTGATCTTCCCAGCCTAATGTCTAATGTACATCACGTACATGGAAGCATTGGAGGATGCGATACAATAACAAACCCAGGGCGTTATTTGTGTCTAGCACAAGGCGCTTGGTATCCTTGGTGACATGTTTTTCTATGCCAATCCAATGCCACCTATAGTATTACGTTAAGTGTCCCATTATTATTTACACTTTAATTTTTTAATAATTCAATTTGGTTTGGTTTAACACAAATGTAAATAATAACATGACACTTGGCACAATATTATAGGTGACATTGGGTTGGCATAGAAAACATGTCACCGAGGATCCCAAGTGTAGCACAAGGATGCGTTGGGTTTGTTTAGAAGTTTGCAATGTTATTTGTTTCCATTTTAGTTTAAACTTTTGTAGTGTATAAATATGCATATCATTAGGGCTATTGTCGCTATTGTAATCAAACTATATTATTTTATAAAAATAAACTCGCTTTTGTCTCTGGAAGTGTTCGGAGCCCAAATAGCGCAAGCAGCCCAGATTTCAATTGTTACTGCCCTCGTCAGCCTGCACTTTACTTTTACTCATTACTCCACTTACTATTACTATTACGACCGTTAGCGTGCCCACTGTGGAGCACCCTCTTAAACGACACCGCATTGCTACTATTCTCCGAGTAAGTAGCTGACGACATCTCCATTGCCCCGAACAGCTTCTCCGGCAACTCATCTCCCGACTGTGCTTCCACCAAAAACCCCATGTCAATCGTGACCGCCGTGACGTACCCCAATGCCAAGTGAGGGTGTACTTTATCGCACTCGTTCTCTCCGATATGAACATCTTGAATTTGAACACTTGTACATCTTGCTTGCTTGAACATGTTACATGCTTGGATGGCTTGGATATGGTATGCTATGATTGCATACGTTGTTGGAGTGAATTTCCTCGACACAAAATATAAGTGTAACACTTTTTCAATTTTAGTTACATACATTTATGTATTTTATATAAATATAATGATTCAGAGTAAAATACCCATAAATAGCTAGTATTTTGTTGATGTAATGCAAAAAACCCATAAAGAGCTGGCATGTTATGGGCACAATCTTTTTTACTTTCACATATTTAAAATTTGTTAAATACAAAATCTACCAGTTTTCCTTTCGTAAAAATATAAGTATAACACTTTTTCAATTTTAGTTACAAACATTTATGTATTTTACATAAATGTAATGATTCAGAGTAAAATGTCCATAAATAGCTAGTATTTTGTTGATGTAATACAAAAAACACATAAAGAGTTGGTATGTTATGGGCAAAAACTTTTTTACTTTCACATATTTAAAATTTGTTAAATACAAAATTTACTAGTTTCCTTTTCGTAAAAATATTAGTGTAACACTTTTTCAATTTTAGTTACAAATATTTATGTATTTTACATAAATGTAATGATTCAGAGTAAAATGTCCATAAATAACTAATATTTTGTGGATATAATGTAAAAAAAAAAAAATCATAAAGAGCAGGTATGTTATGGGCAATATGTTTTTTACTTTCACAAAAATCAGTTTATGTTAAATACAGGACAATCAGTTTACCTTTCATAAAAATATTAGTGTAACAGTTTTTCAATTTTAGTTACAAACATTTATATATTTTACATAAATGTAATGATTCAGAGTAAAATGCCCATAAATAGATAGTATTTTGTTGATGTAATGCCCATAATCGAGAGAATCAATTGGAATCCACTGTTCCTCAGCCTTGGACGCTTTATGTAAAGTAGAGATATTTGTATTGAATTAAATGTGAAACAGGCAACAATCTGTCTTCCCATGAACCCAGTTTTCACAAATGTTAATATTTTGCTAATATAACAATTAAAATCAATTTCAATAATTCAAATTTAGCAGGTTTGATAAAAGTTGGTAGAAAAGTGAGAAACCAAAAGAAAAATAAATCAAATTTTTTAAAAGTCTAAAAAGAATTCAGTACTTCAGCTTTAGAAGTCCTCCAAATGACTATATATTAGAATAACTATAATCAAAATAGATTACATAATTAAAAAACTTAATATTTCAAATATTTATTTTCTTAAGTTTCACTTCTTAAAGGCTCTCAACTCGTTATTCAATAATGACCATATGTTGCTTCAAAGCCAAGCATTGCTGTGTTTAGTACTGCTTATGCTTCCTCTTCGGTGTTTTATTCCTAGACCCATTATATTTATGTTAATTCCGTGACACCCCAATACATTTCCAGCTTCTGCAGTACGCAACATTTCCAAACCGCCCGCGTCTGTTATAGGTCACCACTTGCTTTTGTAGAAATATTCCCTTCATCGTCCGTACATGTCAGCTTGCAACGTGCCAACTTCTTTGCCATATTCTTTACCTTTCCATACCTGTCTTGAATTAGCTGAATACACTACAGAATTTACCAAATAAAATCAGTCGCTCCTAACCTTTTCTTGTCTTTGCTGCATTTTTTGGAGTCTTTCTTGATGTAAGGGGAGTGACTAAAGTAACCTGTCGCTGTCAACTTTTGCCAACACGAATACCTCTACTTATCAAGTGTAGATCGTCCTAGATTTTAATTCCTTTCAATCTTTTCACGTTTATTTTCCTCTTTTTTTTATTGGAGAAATTTGGAACTTGCAGTAAATCTTATATTACTTGCCTATTCATAATGGTGAGATTATTGATTCAACTGTCAAACTCTGCTTTTGATTCAAAATTTTATGTCACTTGCCCCAGTTTTTCCTTGAATGTTTGTAATTTATAACCAATTTTTCCATGAGATAATGAGAAACTTTTCTTAGAAGTGTGTTCCAATAACTACCAAATAGATAAAAATACAACCCTCTTAACTCACATTGCGCCACATATCAAAAGGAGAAGGGAGGAGCTATGCTAAAAATGTACATATTGTCAATTACGTCCTTCAGGTTTGCACTCTTGTTCCAAATAGTAAGTAATTGTTGAGAGGTATTTTTGTCTTTAGCACTGGTAGGTTCGTATTTAGCCCCTAAGCGTTAAAAAAAGGTCCAAACAATTCCTTACTCTCTTTTTTTCCTGTCACAACGATAATGTTACTATGACATAATCTATCTTATTACTGGGAGGGAAGTCTAAAGAGCATGTATAAAAAATTAACAACTATACAGATTCGACTAAACTAAAAGGGTATTCTGACATCTCTTTTAAATTTTTTTCATTACAGATATTGTTCGAACCTCCAATTTACAACCAAAGTGGTTAAATAGTTCCTGCTCATGAGGGAAATTTTGTTTTGATGGCTGAATTGTTTTAGCGTGGATGGAGTTTGTGTGTCACATTTTTTGTTCTTGGATTTCGGTGAACTTAGGACCAATTACTCTAGACCGAAGGATCTTTTTAGATTATAACTATAACTAAATGCTTGGATCTTTGGTTAATTTAGGACCGAAGGACCTTTTTGGATTATAACTATAACTAAATGTGTTTCTAAATTGCACAAAATTCATCTGATGATTCATCACGTGGTTTGTTGATTAAAAATGCTATTATCTTATGTCAAGATTTCATGTGTTGGGAAGTTTCATGGATTCTTAAATTGTTTAATGTTTTTGCTCATAACCTTGTGTAGTATACTATTAATTTTTTAGATTCTTGTAGAAAGAAAAACTTTTCTCAATCTTTTTATTAGTTCTGCACTTGTTGCGAATAATTTGATCTCATGGTTAATAAAATTGTTCTATTTTATTATCAAAAGAAAACAAAAGAAATCAAAAGAGACAGAGAAGTCTTCCTCATTTTTGGCTGACAATCCGAGAAATTTGCTTCCCATTTCTACTATAGAATTCTTGCTTTACTTAGGCCCTGTTTGGTTCTTTAAAAGGAGCCACAAAGGAAAGCAATTTCGGGAAAGTAGCGAGGAAATTGTTGTTCATCTTGACTCAATTACAACACATTTCCTTACTAAAATATGAGGAAATGGAAGAAATCACTGAAAACCGGGTCAACGCAGCGGACTTTATTAACATATCTAGTCTATTGGGGAATGGAGAAGTTTTCAATTGGGCTTCAATTGCTGACGTGGCTTGCTTGCATTGGTTGATTGGTGGTCGTCCGGCCCATGGGAATTTCGAATCGATGGTCATCCAGCCCTCCAGCCCGTGTGAATTCCCACGCGTGAATTGCATTGGGCTCGATGCTTCAGAGGAACTTCCTTTCCTCTCTCTGTCCGTCAATCTCCTTTCTCAATCGTCATCTCTTTCTTTTTCTTTCTTCAGAAAACGCTCATCCTCTCTTCTCTTCGTTTTCATCTATTCTTTTTTCGCTTTTGACTGAGAACAACTACAACAAGGAGGATGGTTGGGATTTTTTTTGGGTTTGTAATCTCTTCTTCTTTCTCTCTCTAGCCATTTGGATCCTTTTTTGTGAGGGGTTTAGCAGTCAAATTTTTATATATTAATTTGTATATATCTTTGATGTTGCAGGTGCAAAAAATTGGAAATGTCTTTCAGCCTCCGGCATCTCAATGAGAGTAAGGTTGTGTAACCTTTTTCCCTTTTTTATAAAGTGAGTCTCTTTTGTTTTTCTATTTTCTTCCTAAGTTATTGCCTGATTTTTCAGCAACTGTTAGTGGAATCCTCTGGAATGTATATGTTGGAAGAGCTTTCAGGTTAGATTTTGAGATCTAAAGAAGCTCTTACCGTCAAGATTTTGCATAAATCCTAAGGTTAGAATTTTGGAACCCCATCTCGTGTCTTGATGTTTTAACTAATATGCTCCAAGAGATCTAGGATCTTTCAGAAAAAATCTGGGAAAAAAAAAATCTTGGAACCCCATGTCTCCGTTATTCTCTGTTTCTAGGTAAAAAAATTATCTACCAATCTGTTCCAAAACGTGTTCTTAACAATCTGGGCATAGTGTACTTGATGCATTTGCATTATATTTCAGGTTCGAATATGCAGTTTGCATTTCCAGTTGATGTTTTTAGAGATTTTAATAGTTCAGGTTCCAATCTCGGTCCTCCTTTATGTTTTGCATACTGTTTAGACAGAACTATCCAAAAGAAAGAGAGGTTTAGCTGGTTGGAATTCATCATATGCAGAATTTGATGGTTTTTTTTTTTGATAAAAAAATCTGGATTTGTTTTTCTTTTC